TTAGCAGCACATAAAAGAAAGCGCTTTTGGAAAAAAGCGCTGTTGTAGGTTTTAAAAAAATCGCTAAAAAAGCGCTTTCAAAGGGTGCCTTAAGAAAGCGCTTTTCAAAAGCGCTTCTAAAGGTCACCCTTAGAAAGCGCTTTTTGGGAAGCGCTGCTAAAGCTGGCCTTTCAGAGGGTACCTTAAGAAAGCGCTTTTCAAAAGCGCTGCTAAAGATCAGCCTTAGAAAGCGCTTTTCCAAAGCGCTGCTAAAACTGGCCTTTAGAAAACGCTTTTAAAAGCGCTGCTATAGGATATGCTACGAAAGCGCTTTTTGATGTAAAAGCGCTGTTATAGATGACCTTTAGAAAGCGCTTTTAAAAGCGCTTTCGTAGGTATTTATTGTGGCCCATTAGTTAAGCCCATAGCTGAATTATTATTATAAGTTATTCAACAGAAACCCTTGTTGGAAACCATTTGCAGTATAGCCGCTCATCTTCGTTTCTCACAGCATCCCATGAAGCCGCTCCAAAATGGTTCGTTCGTTTTCACAGCTTGTTGAATTTTAAACGGTTATTCTAATTTCATTCTTATGTGATTATTGTTTATGATTTTGGTTACAGACTAAGAGAACCAAGAAGGTCGGTATTGTTGGCAAATACGGTACGTTCTATCAATTTTCTTACTTTTCAACATTTTGTCTTGTTTGTTGTGCTTTTCGGTTTCAGATTTGTTTGTTTTGTAGATATTTATTTCATTTCAATTCACTATAAATGTGTTTGTTCTAACCCTAAAAACTTTGTGGGTTTTTTAATTTCAATTAGGTTTAGCTTAGATTTATTTGCTTCTAATTTAAATGAAATTCTCAGCTAAGATGAGTTTATGATTTTTGTGTCGTAAATGGTGATAACTGATAGGTTTATGTTCCAATTTCAGGCACCCGATATGGTGCTAGTTTGAGGAAGCAAATTAAGAAGATGGAAGTCAGTCAGCACAGTAAATTCTTCTGCGAGTTTTGTGGAAAGGTAGTTTTTTTAAGGTGTTTTGTGACGAGTTTTTTTGATCTGCATTGGTTGATTATGTTCTCAATTTGTTGTATGTAGTATGCTGTTAAGAGAAAGGCTGTTGGTATTTGGGGCTGCAAAGATTGTGGGAAGGTCAAGGCCGGTGGTGCTTACACTTTGAAGTAAGAATCTTGCTCAAAAAACATGTTTTCTCAATTGATTAATTGCTTGTATATAGTTGCTAACCTTATGATTTTCTTTGTGCTTATTATTTTGACAGTACTGCCAGTGCTGTGACTGTTCGGAGTACCATCCGAAGGTTGAGGGAGCAGACTGAGAGTTAGAAAGGAAGCAGTATTACAATTTTATTATTTTTTGTTTTCAAAGTTATTGCAGAAACTCTTGTACGTCCTTAATTATTGTTATATTTGATTTGGATATTTGAGGAAGGTTTTGTAAGTGTATCAATTTTCTTTAGATTATTGAGTACTATTTAGTTTGAGCCACATCTTCTTGATATTGTTATGCGGTTTATCAAAGAAATCCTTCAATTGAATCAAATAGAGATTCCAATCACGGTATGGATTTATAACTTAGGACTTGTTTTATTATTTCTCGGATATTTCATATAATTTTTTACTTTTAACTAAATCATGCATATTATGTTTTGTTATGTAGTACTTCGATGAATACAAATGTGCATATTACACGAATCATATAAGGTATGAATACATTATTATGTGAAAAGTGTTATGAATACATTACATGTGTACATGGAATACCATATTGACCGTGTTATTATGTTCAAACCTCGCAGGACCAGGACCTTAATACATAATTGACCGTGTTTTTTTCATACATTAGGACTGGTTTAGTTGTTGTTAGAGTTGATTTTGTAAGACTGATTTTGAGTTACAATGTTGATAACAATAGTTTTTATATATTTTGAGGTACAAAAATGGTGTATATATATTTTGGATTACAATGGTATACACTGCATTACCGCGGTTTATGAATTACAGGTTATGGCAATTGGTTTATATAAATAATATGCTGCAAACAATACAGATATATGAATTATATAAATTATACCTCTAAAAAAATACCCTATGAAAGCGCTTTTTCAAGAAAAACGCTGCCTTGGGTAACCTATGAAAGCGCTTTTTCACAAAAAGCGTTGTCTAAGGTAAACATATGACAGCGCTTTTCCAGGCAAAAGCGCTGCTAAAAGACCACCTATGAAAGCGCTTTTTTAGAAAAAAGCGTTGCTAAAAGCTACCTAAGACAGCGCTTTTCCAGAAAAAAAGCGCTGCTAAAAGAAAACTTATGAGAGCGCTTTTCTAGAAAAAAGCGTTGTCTTAGGTAGACCTATGAAAGCGCTTCTTCATAAAAAAGCGCTGTCAAAGAATACATATGGAAACGCTTTTTCGTAAAAAAAATCGTAAAAAAAAAGCACTGTCTAGACCTACGACAGCGCTTTTAAGCGCTGCTAAAGGGCAAAAAAAACGCTTTCTTAGGTCTTTTTTGGCGTAGTGATTGTTTTATGTTTATCAATTTCTTAAATAATGTCCTATTCTTTAGGAAAGTGGGAGTGCTTGAATAGGAATTAGAATTTTCTCTCAAAGACTCATCCCACGTTATAGACATGTAAAACTTAGAGTAGTTGCAACTGTTTCAGTTTTCAATTTGTAAGGCTATATAACCAATAGTTTGCTTTTAATTGAATAAAATTATTCTCTCCAAAACTCTATATCAGTGTTCAGTTTCAACAGTGGTTGATTCATCTCCCAATCAAACATCTTTTTTCTCAAAGAATCTTTTACTCTTACATGGTTGAGTGTTTAAATAAGATATTAGTGCTCTAATGCCAATTAGAGGTGAGATAAACACAAGAAAAATGGAGGATTTAGTTATGTCGGGTTAGAATTTTTTGGATATTCTCAAGCACAAAAAGTGTAGCAACAAAAAAGATAAAGATAATATAGATAAAGGACCACACACAAAGTTTATATTGATTCACCCTATTAATAAGAGGTTGGCTCAATCTCATCACCTTAAGAGATTTTCCCTATAATGACAGTTGATTACGGGGAACCATTGAGACAACATAATCTTAAATTTTATTTCCTCACGCTAGAGGACTTTCTTGCCTTAGCACCTATAAAAACCTCCTTGCCTTAAATCATTAAGTACTTATTTGCCTCACACTAAAGAGCTTTGGAAAAATTACAAAGTATTTTTTTACAACAACTCATACATAGTGGTACACCTAATACATCTTGATTACAATGATTACAAGTGATTAAGTTTCCTAAAAAATTATGAATAAAGAGCATTTGATTATTCCCTATGCTCGGGAGATAGATGATCATTCTTTAACTTAGTCCAAATGATCCTTGTTAACTTTGATATAAATATTTATTTTCTCTATGAACGTATTAATTTTCTGTAGACTATTGCAAATGTTTTTACATATGAAAAAAATATATTAAAATATTAATTATTCTTAATTATATTATTATCATCACAATTTTGTAAGTTTATAAGTAGAGGTGATTGTTACACAGACCATGTTTGATTCAATATATTTGAATCACACATGATTTTTTCACTTGTTTTCTAGTTGCATGAAATAGACCCCTTTAAACTTTTATAAATGTTGATTCAAATTATGATGATAAAAGAAGTTTTTATTTTTAGTTTTTTACACTTGTAATAAAAATACTCTATTTATCTCATTATTTCATTTTGAACACTTTTTATCTTTCTCCATTTCTTTCAAACACTCATTGAAAACTTTTTGATAATTGATCGAGACAAATTTAAAAGTTATGGAGGGCTATAATTAAATTGGGATATAATCAATATTACATGATCGAAATTGTCCTGAGCATTGATTGGGGATTCAATTGTTACTAAAATGATAAAAATTCAGAAATGTGTCTTTTCCCTTGTTAAAGAAAGTGGAGATTTTTTATCTCATAGTTGTTCATACTTGATGTGAATTTTCTCCACGACTAATGAAGTTCACTGGAGGCAAAGTTCAAGGATCAAGGGTGTGGACTTCAAGATAAAGGGGAGAGGTTCGATTTTTGGTGGAATCACATGATCGAGTTTGTAGTTTGCAAGAATACAAGAAGGTTTGAAGTCATGCAAGTAGCTAGGTGCTTGGTCATAGAGAACTGATTAATTTCTTACAAGTAATTTATTGAGTACTTGGTGTGCTAAGTTCATATAAGAAAAAATCTGCAATATGTCTAGCATTGAGATTGGATTAACCCACTTTCTCGAGGAAGATTCAAATGAACCAATTTTCGTAATCGTAATCATGATCAAAGTATTTGTCAGCCATAGGGTGTATACCAGATAATACAAAAATCAAATTACAGTAGAATAAAAAGAAAGATTAGCACAAACAGTAGAATAGAAACAAAGACAGGCATGGAAGAATACAACTACAGATACCGAGACTTAACAAATCATCGAAAGAAAATGATCAAAAAGGACAATATAATGGAGAAAGAACATACTGTTTTTAATGTTGATTCGGGAAAATAGTTCTGCTACCGAGCTACTATGCCCAATATAGGATTCAAATTATTTCCACCAGCATTCTTCATCTCCAGCAACTAAGTAAATTCCCATTGATTATGTTCCTTCCATATCTGAGCTTTGGTGAAATCCAGACAGAGCAGAGTAATAATTATTGATCAATACCATAAACTTTCTATTTCAAAATCGTAAACCTTAAACAAAATAGTATTCCAAATTTCTAGTGTAATATGGTTGTTCAAAAACAGGACAGTTTTTCCTTTTGGCAGGAACACTATAGCAAAGGCGGATTATAAAACCAAACCTATGTTGGTGACTCTATTTAATTTAATAAGTTATTGATAAAATCCAACCTATATAAAACTGAGTAAATATCAGGAGACAGGTGTTGCACTGGACATTATTAAAAAAATTGATGGCAGTTGCACTGAGTAAATACAAGTCATCAGGTCGGAAAACATTGAGTCAAGGAACAGCGGGGACGGGAACAATTCCCAGTTTTCTGCGAACATCTTGTAAATCTTCATGAAAATGCTGCTCATAATACACAGACATTAGATCATTGCACTGTGTTCCGGCACGAATAGCCCATGGGAAGTAGTGCTGGAAAAACAATTTTCTCTGTTTTTGGCTGAATCTTGCTGTGCCACCTATAACAGACATGATGCACATAGGAAGATACATCTGTTCAAACTCGATTACTTTCAGTGCTGACTCCCCAATCAAGTTAGTAGGAAGGTCAAAAAGGGTATGCCAGAAGTCATGGACTTCACGAGCTCGCATGGCAACATAGGCCAGGTCATCTGTATCCATGAACCGCACAGGAGGTCGGTCGTCTGGTGAAAAGTTTCTGGACCCCATAAATCTAGCATAGGCAGCACCAAATGTATTTGCTGGCAGGTCCCAAGCATGTCCTACATTTGCAGATATAACACGAGGGCGCTCCAACAGTACTGCCTATTAAACAAGATGACATTTGCAGATATAACACGAGGGCGCACCAAATATTTATACAAAGATCACTCAATATTTAACCTCAGCAACAAACAAAATGAAAATAACTAAAGAGGTGATGAGAAATGATTACCGACCTTTCCTTCGGGGGAAGATTTCATCCTTTGAAGAACCCTTTCAAAGGCAGGTTTTCCGGTTGTTTCACCAAGAGCCGCTATCAAATCAGCTCTCCTTGGATTCAAAAGCGCTCCGACTGCCGAACCAAATGCCACCGCTCCCTGCTGCCATGTCTTCAGCTTGATTCTACCGCCGTCCACCATTCCAATTTCTGATTTGATTATTACATTAAGAAAAAACAAGACATCACTTAGGGGAAAGGAAAGTTAGACTAACTTTCAACCATTAGATGAATCTAAAAGTTGAGATGTTGACACGTGGCTTTATAAAAAACACCAAAGCTCAATACACTTGCTCAATAAAACTGCAGCCTTTCAATCAAAACAGAACCTTCCGCGCCACACCTGTATAGTTTCAAATCAAGGCCACGCCATCACTGTGAAATGAGAATCATCCCTGATACTTTTTGTATCAAATCAGAGAAATATTTGTTAATTTCTACACTCATGCTTTAGGTATTTCCATTATTGATATGAGAATCATCACCATAAGAATAGTCATAAAAAAGTTAAACTAACTCTAACGTTCCGGCTTCAACGTTAGAGAATCCCAAAATACCCTACATCATTAGCCTAATTCACTTATAATCGCCAACAATAAGAATGGAAATATAAGGAATTGATAAAAATTACAACAAAAAAGAGTAAAGAAATTGAGCAGAAATACCTGAGTTGAAGAGTCGAGATGGAGAAGACACGCTAGGGTTTTTATTTTGACTTTGGATTCGAATCAACTACAAGTAGCGATTGTATTTTTTATTGTTTTGGAAATTAAATCTATTCCTCCAATTCTCATCATTAGGCCATTTTTTTCATGATAACTATTTCTATTATAAACTTTAAATAAATTGTTTCTCCAAAAATCTACTGCATGCATTTTTTTTATTTTTAGAATAATAAAAATGGTTCTCGAGTTTTAAAATTTAATTTTATGTTTTATTTTTAATGTTAAATTGATTTTTAGTTTAAAAATTGATTATTTTTTAATTTTATTTGTATTGATGAGAACACTTTCAATAGAACTAATTATGAAGTTACTCGGATCATGATTAGTGTTCCCTTATCGTTCAAATTGGCGGAAACTGTTTGCATCGAAATTGACGACAAGGAATATTGTTTGGTGCTTCAGGAAGACTTCATAGGAATGCTTCGGGTTAAATCAGGTAACTCTAAATCTCAAATTACTGGCTCAGAATCTCTAGATTCTGAAGATGTGTGGTCGAATGATTATTTTGATTTTGATAAGGGAGAAGGGTACCTGAAAGGGACGATACAATTAATAGTATAGAGGAGTTCACGGAGGAAGGGGAGATAGAAAGTTCGTGATCAAGGATTAGTGGGAATGTTGCCAATGTGCCAGGAGATTCTGTCCAGAGAGGAAATGTTGAAACATAATTCGAAAATATTGGCATTCCATCGGGTGACAGTAAGGGTGGTGTTTTCGATACGGCAGTTTCAAACATTAAGGAAACATTGGAAGCGGAGGAAGAAAGGGGAGAACGGATGCGCAGTTTTATGGAAAAGGGTTGAAATCTTCTTCCATTTCGAGATGCTCATCACTGGTTCCTTATTTGAGAAAAAGGTCAAAAAAACTTAAATTAAAAAATATGTCTCAAGTGGAACGATTGATACAAAAAGAAGCTATAAAGTCTTTTAGGAGAATCAAAAGGAAGGAAAATAATTTTTCTTTGCGTAATGGGGAACGGCCATCTATTCCTATTCCAAAGGGGAACTACTCTAATGGGCCTTCTATTTCTTTCCATTCGCTTTCGTTGAGACAAGAAACTGGCATCCTGTGAAAAGAGAAACAAAGAGGAAAAAAATCTAATGCACAAATTGAATAATTGGAAGAAAAGAGAAACTAAGAAAAAAAAAGCATGTGCTAGTAAACCGGAAGAAATAACAGAGAGGAACATCATAGATAGATTTTTTTACAAAAATATAAGTTTGAAACTATACAAAAAAGAGTTGGCTTGAAACACGACAAGATCCGTTGAAGCTCCGGTGAAGGCAACAAAGAAACCATGTGCGAGGGAGGAGAGAAGAGGTAAGGTACGAAAAAAGTTTCGGGTTGGAATGTCTTGTCATTTTTATGTTTCAATTTTCATTTAAAAAACAAAATGGCACATGGAATTACTTCGTAACGTTTCGGCTTGAATGTTAGAGAATCCTCAAAAACCCTACATCATTAGCCTAATCCCCTTATAATTTCCAACAATAAGAATGAAAATATAAGGAATGGACAAAAGTTACAACAAAAAAGAGTAAAGAAATTGAGCGGAAATACCTGAGTTGAAGAGTCAAGATGGAGAAGATGCGCTAGGATTCTTATTTTGGCTTTGGATTCGAATCAACTGCAAGTAGCGACTGTGTTTTTTATTGTTTCGGAAACTAAATTTCTTCCTCCTATTCTCATCATTAGGCCATTTTTTTCATGATAACTACTTCTATTATAAACTCTAAATAAATTGGGTCTCCAAAAACCCACCGTATTCTTTTTCTTTAGAGGAATAAAAGTGGTTCTTGTGTTTTAGAATTTATTTTTATGTTTCATTTCTAATGTTAAATTGATTTTTAGCTAAAAAATTGATTATTTTTTAATTTTATTTGTATTTATGAGAACACCTTCAATGGAATTAATTATAAAGTTGGTTGGATCTGATTAGCGTTCCCTTATCTTTCAAATTGGCGGAAACTGTTTGCAATGAAATTGGCGACAAGGAATATTGTTTGGTGCTTCAGGAAGACTTTATAAGAATGCTTCAGGCTAAATCAGGTAACTCTAAATCTCAAATTATTGGCTCAGAATCTCTAGATTCAGAAGATGTGTGGTCGAATGATTCTTTTGATTTTAATGAGGGGAGAGGGGTACCTGAAAGGGACGATACAATTGATAGTATAAAGGAGTTCACGGAGGAAGGAGAGATAGAAAGTTCGGAATCAAGGATTTGTGAGAATGTTGCCAATGTGCCAGGAGATTTTGTCTAGAGGGGAAATCTTGAAACATAACTCGAAAATGTTGGCATTCCATTGGGTGACAGTAGGGATGGTGCTTTCGATACGGAAGTTTCAAAAATTAAGGAAACATTGGAAGCGGAGGAAGAAATGGGGGGGCGGATACGCAATTTTCAGGGAAGGGGTTGAAATCTTCTTTAATTTCGAGATGCTCATCACTGGTTCCTTCTTTGAGAAAAAGGACAAAAAAACTTAACTTAAAAAATATGTCTCAAGTGGGAGGAGTGATATAAAAAGGAGCTATAAAGTCTTTTAGTAGAATCAAAAGGAAGGAAAATAATTCTTCTTTGCGTAATTGGGAACGGCCATATATTCCTATTCCAAAGTGGAATTACTCTAATGGGCCTTCCATTTCTTTCCATTCGCTTTCGTTGAGACAAGGAAGTGGCAGCCCGTGAAAAGAGAAACTAAGAGAAAAAATATAATGCACAAATTGAATAATTGGAAGACAAGAGAAACTAAGAGAAAAAAACATGGACTAGTAAACCGGAAGAAATAACATAGAGGAACATCATAGATAGATTTTTTTACAAAAACTGAAGTTTGAAACTATACAAAAGAGAGTTGGCTTGAAACACGACAAGGTCCATTGAAGCTCCAGTGAAGGAAAAAAAGAAACCATGGGCGAGGGAGGAGAGAAGAGGTAAGGTACGAAAAAAGCTTCAGGTTAGAATGTCTCATTATTTTTCTATTTCAATTTTAATTTAAAAATAAAAATGGCACATAGAATTACTTCGTAACGTTACGGCTTCAACGTTAGAGAATCCCCAAAACTCTACGTCATTAGCCTAATCCCCTTATAATCGCCAACAATAAGAATGGAAATATAAGGAATGGACAAAAGTTACAACAAAAAAGAGTAAAGAAATTGAGCGGAAATACCTGAGTTGAAGAGTCAAGATGGAGAAGACGGGCTAGGATTCTTATTTTGGGTTTGGATTCGAATCAACTACAAGTAGAGACTGTGTTTTTTATTGTTTCAGAAACTAAACCTCTTCCTCTCATCCTCATCATTAGGCCATTTTTTATGATAACTACTTCTATTATAAACTCTAAATAAATTGTTTCTCCGAAAACCCACTGTATTCTTTTTTTTAGAGGAATAAAAGTGGTTCTTGAGTTTTAGAATTTATTTTTATGTTTCATTTCTAATGTTAAATTAATTTTTAGCTAAAAAATTGATTGTTTTTAAATTTTATTTGTATTGATGGGAACACCTTCAATGGAATTAATTATGAAGTTGCTCGGATCATGATTAGTGTTCCCTTATCGTTCAAATTGGCAGAAACTGTTTGCATCAAAATTGACGACAAGGAATATTGTTTGGTGCTTCAGGAAGACTTCGTAGGAATGCTTCGGGCTAAATCAGGTAACTCTAAATCTCAAATTACTGGCTCAGAATCTCTAGATTATGAATATGTGTGGTCGAATGATTCTTTTAATTTTGATGAGGGGAGAGGGGTACCTGAAAGGGACGATACAATTGATAGTATAGAGGAGTTCACGAAGGAAGGGGAGATAGAAAGTTCAGGATCAAGGATTAGTGGGAATTTTTCCAATATGCCGGGAGATTTTGCCCAAGGAGGAAACATAGAAACATAACTTGAAAATGTTGGCATTCCATCGGGTGATAGTAAGGATGGTGCTTTCGATACGACAATTTCAAACACTAAGGAAACATTGGAAGCAGAGGAAGAAAGGGGGGACGAATACGCAGTTTTCAGGGAAGGGGTTGAAATCTTCTTCGATTTCGAGATGCTCATCACCGGTTCATTCTTTGAGAAAAAGGACAAAAAAACTTAAATTAAAAAATATGTCTCAAGTGGGAGGATTGATACAAAAAGGAGCTATAAAGTCTTTTAAGATAATCAAAAGGAAGGAAAATAATTCTTCTTTGCATAATGGGGAACAACCATATATTCTTATTCCAAAGGGAAATTACTCTAACGGGCCTTCCATTTCTTTCCATTCACTTTTGTTGAGACAAGGAAGTGGCAGCCCGTGAAAAGAGAAACTAAGAGAAAAAAAATCTAATGCACAAATTGAATAATTGGAAGAAAAGAGAAACTAAGAGAGAGAAAAAAACATGGGCTAGTAAACCGGAATAAATAATAGAGAGGAACATCATA